AAATGATAATTCCTATCCTTATCAGTTAGTTCATTTGCAGAGGAAAAAATATTTTCACCATCAAAAGCAGTAAGGGATTCCTCACAAAGCACTGGGTGTTTGCAGAAGCATTGGCGGAACCCGAGAGGCTTGGTCTGTGTTCACTACGGGACTGATGCGCACATGGGGAGCCAGGCCCGCAGGGAGCTGCTGCCTTAGGGGTATGGAAGCTATGGTGCAGGATCAGGAAGCTCCCATCCTGAGAGGTGGCTCTGCTGCATCTGCTGCCCTGCAGGTGAGCAAAATGCAGATGCCAATGGGTGCCCCAGCCCCACCTCTGATATCTGTGATGCCCGGATGTTGGGGTGCGGGGGGGCGACAAATCCACTGCCTCTAGCACCATGCTTGCCAGCAGGCAACCTGAAGGGCAGCACCACCTCATGTTTGCCCTCCAAATCTGCCCTGGGACTCCTGCCTGGGAGAGGAAATCCTGGTCGGTGGCCTCTGTGCAGTGTAGTGTGGGGAAGCCAGGCTCTGGGGCACAGGAGGCTGAGAGCCCACTCAGAGTGGGGAATACACAGTAGCATGTGCCAAGGGCTCAGCACTGAGCTGACCTGGGTCCTCCCAGTGCCCCGGGTGCATCAGGACCGCTGCCTGGATAAGTAGAGGACCTCAGGACCCTGCGGGTTGAGCATATGCCTGCAGACCTCGATCTCCACAAAAGCTGGTTGGTTCAGTGAAAATAAACTCAAGACCGTGATGTGTAGAAGAAACCCATGTTTCTCCTCCGCAAGGCAGCATAACTTGTTCTGCCAGACAGGGATTAGTACAAGTACAGCAGCCACAATGCCAAACCTAGCGGTGATCTTGTGTCCAGAGTATGGAAAGCCTAGTTGTCCCAGCACGGTGGCCTGGCCCTCAATAGATCAAGAGTAGGCAGCACATGGGCCCCACGGTCATGTGCGGCTCAGGCCCAGCAGTCACGGCACTCACACAGGTGTGAGCGGGCCAGGTCAGCTATTTCTCCCCCTCCGAGCGCCCCCCGAATGTCTCTGCTAGTGACACATCCCTCCGTGTGGGTAACGTGCAGTTCTACATGAAGGGGAAAACTGTCATGAGAACAGTTTAGCAGATGGTACTGGATACAGAAGAAACAAACTGGACTAATTTCTATCTGAAAGTTTAAAACACAAATAAATGAAACTTCCACAAGTAACCTTCTTGCAACACTACAAAGGACGCCAACAAATTATTGCTAAGTAGGGCAGTCAGACAGTCATCATCGTGGTCGTTTAATTTAAGAGACTTTCAAGTGGACATCAGGGACAGGAAGCAGACAGCTCTGTCCGTGCTGTGACTCAGTGTGGCCTGGCCTGCATGCCCGGGGACCCACATGGTGGCTCTCCTCACCTGCCTGTCACTGGGCACTCTCCTTCAGAGTCTCACACCTGTGTCACCCACCCCTACAGGGACCCTCGACACAGCCGTGGTGCACTTCTGGAGATAGCTGCAAGTCTTGACAGCATTCCTTACAGAGCCAGCCCGGGGCCGGTCTTGCTCCTGTTCAGGCATCACGGCTGATCTTAGGACTGATAGGAACAGAAGCACAGACGTGGATCTTGCAAAGGTGTAGAAGGGCCTCATGGCCAGGTATTCAAGATGAATGAGGTCACCATCTTCGGGGTGAGGTCCAGGGCTCCTGCCCACTCTGCACTGGCTGGGACTTATTGCAGCAAGCCTGGTGACGCTGGACTCCACCTGAAGTCTTCTCTTCCTGCTAAATCTCCTGCACTCAGCTTCCGTTCAAAACCAGAATCGCTGTTCTAGATTTTCTCTTTGCCAGCTAGACATGCTTCCCAGACTTCCCAAATCAAGGAATAAATGACAGATGCTGGGCTGGAGATGTTTCTATTCAGCTTCTTCCAAAATATTTAAAACAGAACACATCTTCATCTTTGCTGTTAGTGAGTCCCCTGACTTTGGCATTAATGCCAGAGACCACCAACCTGGCTGTCAGAAAGCTTCCAATAGCGGCCAGTGCGTGGGGCACTCTACAAGTCAAGGTCAGCCCACAGCCCACACTGGCCAGGTGACGGGCTAAGCAGACAGGTTAAAGAACTTGTCTCAAGTCTTGAACGTGTCGTGTATGCTGTTTCTATTCTTTCTAATGATCCATCTTATTTTTGCCTCCTTATGTAAGCTTTCTAATGATAATGATAATGATAATAATATATTTATCTAAAAGTATCAGACATAAACAGCCCCTTATACAAAGAACATAAGCAAATGACCAATAAATATATTTTTCTTGCTCAACAGCACAAATCATTGGGGAAATGCAAATCAACCTCACACCCAGTAGGATGATTATTACAATAAAAAGTGAAGGAACAACAAAAAGTGTGGACAAGAATGTGGAGAAAGAGCAACCCTTGTGCACTGTTTGTGGGACCATAAAATGGTGCTGCTGCTGTGGAAAATCCTGGCCACATGAAATTACCACATGACCCAGCAATTCTGCCTCTGGGGGTAAATGCAGAAGAAAAGAAAGCAGGTGTTTGGCGGATATTTGTACACACGTGCTCATAGTTGTGTTGGTCACAGCAGACCAGAGGGGGAAACAATCTCAATTTCCACTGATAGATAAATGGATGAATTCAACGGGGTCCATCCATGCCTTAAAATGGAAAGAAATTCGACACATACTACATGGGCGAGCATAGAAATAAACCAGTCACAAAGGATAAATGCTTTGTGATGGGAGTTACAAAAGTAGTCACTGTCACAGAGACAGAAAGCTGAATGGCGTTTCCAGGGCCTGGGGAGGGAGAACCAGGAGCTCTTTAGCAGGTTAGGGCTTCAGTTTCCCAAGATCAGAAGAGTTCTTGAGACAGTTGGTGGTGATGTTTGCTCAACTAAGTGAGTGTACTTAGTGGCTGGGAACTGTACACTGAGCCGTGGTTAAAAGGGTAACTTGAACGTCACATGCATCTTGCTATAATTTAAAAATTGTAGGTAACTGACATGCTCGGGGCTCATACATCTCGTGACATTACTCATTTTCTCCTCTCAGCCCCTAGAAATGGGGGCTATCAGCCTAGCGTGGCAGAAGAGAGGGCGTGTCACACAGGCAGATGTCCAGGAGCCTGGAGCAGGTGGTGGACCCCAGGGCGTCCAGTCAACAGCAGAGAAGAAACCGCTAGGAAGGAGCAGAGCAGCACAGGCCCACAGCGGGCCTTGACCTCTCAGGAAATGGGCTGTGGACACCTTATCTCCAGCCCTGGGACCTTACGGCTCCCCTAATGGGTCAAAAGGGGACAGAGAGGGCATTCACCACTTAGAAAGTGCACAGCACAATTGCTAACGTTTCAGAGCACCTCAGTTCCACCGCAAAGTAACCGTGCCAGAAGGAAATGAGTCAGCAAGGTAAATGTTTGTGGCCTGAACTCTAGCTTTATGCACACAGCTTTTACTCAATCAACTTGATATTTGGTAAGTGCATCTTGCCTTCTTTGTCATTTTCTTCAAAGTCCTCAGTGTGATTCTGATACTGACTATGACATGCAAGAAAATTCTAAAAGGTGACACTTTATATCCTATTCTCCAGAAATCTGGGCAGGGACTGTAGCTTAGTGGAAGAGCTCTTGCCTAGCAATGCTCCGAGGCCTGAGTTTGATCTTTATACTAGAGGAAGGAAGAGGAGGAGGAGGAGAGGGAGGAAGGGAAGATGAGAGGGTGAAGAAGGAGGACAAGAAGGAAGGAGGAAGAGGAGAATAAGAAATCTACACTCCTCTAGATGTGAATGCCCATACTGTCTTCACTCACTGTTAGACATGTCTGAGAGAGAAAGCATGCAAAGATAGCATCTGAAATCCAAACCAGAAAATCAGGTTGTGCTCAGCCAACAATCCACCCCCAGTATATCTAGAGTTTAAAATGTGATGTTACCGTGTTTGAAATTATGTGCAGCCATTGTAGAGGTTCTTAGTAAGGGCATAACAGCAACACAATCAGAATAACAACGATCACCTGACAGTTCCTGGCCATGGTGTCTGGCTAATAGCCAACATACTTCCTTTGTGACTCTGTAAAGACAAAAGGACTTAGAACCGGGTGCTGCAGGTGTCCACAGGCTAACACCCCTGGAGTGAGGGCCACTCACCGCTGGGTTTTCAGACTTGGTGAAGCCTCCCTGCTGAGTCTTGCCTTCTGCAAGTATGATGAGTGGGGAACACGTGGACCTGGGAAGAAGTCAGCAATCTGCAACCTTTCGTAGTCTTTGATTGCAGGCCAGATTCTGAGTAATGATAGCCTGTTGCCCTACCAGTGCCTGGATATTTTTAACCATGAATTTATTTCTATCACTTTTGTTTCAGCCATTTTAACAGGAGGAAGTCATCTTTTACGTCCTCTTGTGATTCCTGTGATATGTCTTGGAGAAATCAGCTCGAATGTATCTTACACCTCTAATTGTATGGCTTGGAAAGGGCCTCAAGGCCTTGGAGGACAGCGGTGAGATCAGCTCCTGATGAGCCTGTGGCCCCGGGACCCTAACTGCACAGCCCTGAGGAGGTGGGAACACTGCTGCACCTGCGGCGGATGCATACAGACCCCTGAGTTTTACCCTACTTGGGGTTCACGACAAGTTCCCAGGGTGGATGACCCCAGCATGCATGTCAGATCCTTCTGAGTTTCTCTCCTGCAGTCTTTCTGCTGTGTCGTCTTGTCCATTCTTAGGGCCATTCCAGGATACTTTCTTATTAATCTAAAGTGTATTCAACCAGGCGCAGTGGCTCATGCCTGCAGTCCCAGCTACTTGGGAGGCTGAAGCAAGGGGATCACTTGAGCTCAGGAGTTTGAGAGTAGCCCGGGCAACATAATGAGACCCTATCACAAAAAACGAAAGAACAAAAGTGCTTTGGCCTTATGTGTTTTGTTGTGTCTTAGATCTAGAATGTCTCCCCAGAACCCTCACGTGTTCAGAATGGGGGGTGGGCTTTGGAAGGTGCGTGGCTCATGGAGGTGCTGTGCTCTGCAGAGGATTAATCTGCTCTCCTGCATAGCCGGCTTGCTGTCAGGAGGCGGGGCCGGGTTGGAAGAGGGGTCACTGGGGCATGGCCTGGAAGCTACATCTCCCTCCTCAGGTCCTCCCTTCTCTCTGCTTCCTGGGCGCTGAGACATGAGCGGCTTCCTCCACCCAGGCCTCCACCGTGGCATTCCCGCGTTTGAGCCTCTCAACCACCGGCTGAAACTTCTGAATCCATGAGCCAAAGTAAGCCTTCCTTTTCCTGTCGTGGGTGTCAGGTATTTGTCCTGGAGGTGAGAAAGTGAATAAGACATCTATCTAAACGTAATTCCTCTGCACCCAGTTACCATCCCTGCCGCCTCTGTAACTGACTACAGACAGATTGGCATGCTTCGCAGCTTGCTGCATGCCTTCCTATCCACCCTTACATAGCGTGGAGGGGGCTATTGGTCTCTTCTTATTAATAAGCAAGCACTGGTTTAAATGGAACAGTCCTTTGATTTATCATTTCAGGAGTGGTTGCAGCACACTCAGCTGCTGTCATGAGGGCGAGTGTTGGAAATTCAAAGGCAGCGGCTGGGGCCCAGCTTCTGCCTCTGTGGAGCCCAAGTTCTGTTCTGTCCTGCGCTGCTTCATGAGGTATAAATGAGGGTGGCCTGCTTCCTCCTGCAGCCTCTCCCACTCCCTCGCAGAGGGCACTGTGCACAGTTCCCACTGGAACCGCAGGCTCCTGTGGAAGACGCACGCGGGCACCAGCACCTCTAGCACCCTGGGAAATGTATTTCCTCTCACCCAGCATATCACTTCTTTAGTTTCTGGGGAAGCCTCCCTTCACTGGCGCCTGAACACTACACCCTGAACTATCCCACCCTTGCTAACCTCGCTTCCCAAAGGGCCGCTGCCTCTCGGGTGGTTCCCAGATTCTTGAGTCACCCAGCCCCTAAAGCTTCCATCGGGGTCCTGCTTCTCAGTCCCCCTATTTTCTTTGCCTTTCCTTCTGCGAGCATCGATTCCAGGGCTCGCTATTGCACCAGCATGCTGGTCTCTTCTCGCCACTGCCTGGCTTTGGGTCTTCCTGTCTTACACCCATCTTATTCACCACATCTTATTTCTGTGGCCCTCCAGGGCTCCCGGTTCCTACAGAGAGCTAACATTTGCCCGTCAGACTCCTCCTTTGTAGGGCACTTAGAACGAGGCCACCGCCCCTGCCCGGTCAGTCCAGGGCTAGACAAAGAGTGCGCGGGACAGCCCTGTGCCCAGAGCCCACTGGAGTGGATGGACTGGATGCCCCTGAGCCGCTTGCCCTGCCCACAGTCCCTCCTCTCCCTCCACCCCTGACCCACACCTCTCTCCCTGCGCGGCCCCTCATAGTGTGGCACGGTCCCCTCTTGGAACTGTGAGTGACAAGCTGTCCTTTCGACGACAGCTGTCTCCCTACCTGTTGGCCTCACCATATCTGAGTAAGAATAAAGCCTAGCTTTGAAACACAAACTCCACCTCAAGCAAACCAAACAGTATCCCCTTTCCCAGACCTTACGTTGGGGGGACTGAAAACTTCCTGAAGAAAACCCCAATCGAAGCTAATTTGCTCCACGAGTTCACTGTGACGCACAGGCTGTCAGTCCTTATTGCAAACCCAGCTCATATTTGTGGATCCTCTCACGGTGAGGACTACTCCAGACCTTCTGCCCCTCTCCATGCCATGCACCCACCAGACCGGTGACACCCCATCCTTTCCCCCAAACATACAAAGCCACCCATGTGTGGACTTGTTCCCTCCATTCCCCTGCAAGGGAGGAAGGCGTCCCCACCCCCAGACAAAGCTTGATCCTCCACAGGTACTTGGCTGGCTCCTCTTCACCCTCTCTGTGAAATTGCAGCATAGATTATGCTTTTCCTCCTTTGCCCCTAAATTGTGTCCCCTCTCCACAGTGCAATAATGGTCGGCCATGCACCAAGCACCCAGATTGGCCTGTGATTCCTGGCTCTCGACACACAGCCACGCTCCTGTTTGAGCCAAAGCCTGAGCACCTATCAGTCATCCCTAAAGACCACAGTTTGTCTGTCTGCAAGACGAAGAGTTCTGGAAATGTGACCAACACACCCTCTCATCTCAGATTTCATCAGAAATTCCTGGGTACTAGCAAGTATCTAGTTAGGGTTGCGATTTAGGTGATTATCTCATAAACCCCTGCACAGTAGGTTTGTATGAATTGATGGCATAAAAATTGAAGAATGGGGATGGAGAGAGAGAGAATAAAAACTATTGTCTAAGACAGAAATTCTTCTAACAGGGCTAAGCTGTCCCCTAAACATCATATTGGGAACTCATGCACTAGAGGAAACAGGTTTCCAGACCTTAACAGTGCTTTCTGAGGGTTGAGAAATATCAGACTAGCCAGGTTGTCATCTGCCATTGACATTCCAATGGATTTGTGAAATTTTGAACCACCCTGACTTGAGCACCCATTTTCCAGCTGCTGGGTTCACCTCACTCTTGCTTATGTTCCCCTCAAAACCAAAATGCCCTTTGTCATAAAAGCCTCATCCTATTTAACCTTCACAAGGCTCCTGCTGGGTTTCTGCATTAAGCACATGTTCCTAATTTACAAATCATTTTTGCAGCCAAATAAAACGGTCTCTATTTTGGCATTGTTCATGATTTCTTAGTTTACAGAATTAACCACCATATGATTTAGTATACCTGGTGTAGCCCGAACCCTGGTAGCCCCAGAAGTCCATACCTGAATGGCCTCATCCTGTGAATGTTTCCCCATGGCAAAAGGGGCTCTGTGGATGTAAACGAAACAAGGCTCTTGGGATGGAGGAGATGGTCTTGGACCATCTGAGTGAGCAAACACGAGAGTCTATATGAAAGGAAAACAGGAGGACCAGAGAGAGGACTTGTGACCGTGGAAGCAATGTGTGCTGGTCTGAGGCCAAAAGGTAAGGAAAACAGATCCTTGGGGTTGAAAGGACAGGAAGGAGGCTCTGCCCCAGGCCCTTGAGAGGAAAGCAGCCCTGCAGAACCAGCTAAAATGCCTGACCTGCAAGGCTCAGAGACAGATGTGTCTCTGAACCACTCACTAAGTAATTCATTACAGCAGTGACCGGAAACAAACTCAGTGCTTCTCTGGTTGTGTCGATCCATGACGCCCTGGTTCTTCCCATTCTGTTCTGCTAATTTATCTGTGAAGGGAACATGGTCCTGCACCCCGGAGAATTTCCCGCGGTTTGGTTTGGCCAACTGCATCTTAATGATTGTGTTTAACTTGTTCTTCCCTCTCTAAAATTTCTTATTATGTCAGATACCTAGGCCTGGGACACACATGTTTAATCTGAGGGTGCAAACGTGTCCCAGAGAAGCTGTGAATCCTGCTGGCATCAGGGGGAGAGGTGCACTCAGCCAATCACCTGTTTTGTGAGTAAAGCATGGCCTCTGGTTCAGGGGTCTCTTTAATCAACACCTGCAACGCTCCCAGTGGCCTGCAGCTAAGGGTGTTGATAACGCCAGCAATGATCACTCGAATCTCTTGTTTCATTACGGAAGGCAAAATGGTCCTGTCCTCATCAAGCCACCTCTTCTGCAGTTATCAGCTGGATTTGTTCCACAGAGGAATCTTTTCTGATAAAATATTTACTCTCCCCGGGGCACGGTTGGAACAGGAAAGATAGAGTAAATATTTGATTTTTCTATCAGTGTTTAGAAAAATGAATTAACTTTCTGCATTCATTGGAGGTTACTCTATACTCTTTTAAATTTTTTATTATAATCCTGTGGACTTTAAAACATGTGATAAATTTCAGTTCGAAACAGTGATTCTGTTTTTCTCGTTGTCTCTGCTGGACACTGTCCAGAGCGGGGACGCTGACCAGAACAGCTGGTTTTCTTTCCTGGGCCCAGAGCACGGGCCCCGTTGTGGTTTTCTTTCCCAGGGAAAGGTGGCTCTAGACTGTGGTTTCTGCACAGAGCCTCATGCCCTATTCCTCCCCGTGGGTGGGTTAAAGCCACGGCTGGTGCCGCATTGGTTGTGAGGAGCCCAGCTTGAGCTCCTGGGCAGGTGTTTGCCTCTGGAACCAACAGTCAGGGTCAACTGTGAGCATCCTCCCGGGTCCCGTGTGCTGCCTGGCACACTGGCCGCTGGGGTCCGCCATGCTGCAAGTCATTACAGCATGGTTTCCCAGTCTGCCTCTGAGTTTTCCTCTGATGTTTGGCTCTCAGGGTTTTGTTTCAAATTGGCTGTGTTTTTGCATTTAATGGTTGATCTGATTCAAAACATGTTTGTACCTGTAGTGGCAAATAAGGCTTTCTGAGTGTCAAGCTGTCCGAACTCCTGTAACAGGACGGTTGCACGGTTGAGGGTCATCGATGTTGATGCGGGGACTGGGGAGCCAGTGACTGAGGAGGTGAAGGACACAGGGGCACTGAGAACCTGCCCTCCACCGCCCACCCACAGCTCCCGGGCCCACATCCAGAGCCTCCACGCAGGGCCCAGGTCGAGGTGGGGCGGGGTAGAGCCAGGCGACGGTAACTACAGCAGCCAAAGAGAAGTGCGCTGTGGCCAGAGAGACACGGTTTCCTACGCTCTAAAGTGCTTTCGGGTCAGTGAGAAAAGGACAGGTCAGGCCTCACGTCAGCATTGATTGTATTAAAATAATTTTAAAATCTGAAGGATTCTGTCATCCTCAACTCACTCCTTGGAACAAATAAGCCCTGGATAAAAGACAAGTTTCAATTTTTCCAAGGAAAATTATGAAAGTCAAATAATCTGAGAAAATGTCAGCTTACATTTTCTTTTCTTTTTGGTACCGGGGATCAAACTCGCATCCTTGTGCTTGTGAGGCAGGCAGTGGAACCACTGAGCTAAATCCCCGGCTTTAATACATTTTCATGACCAACTGAGTTCTAAACATGGATGCGTCATCAGAACCGGAAGGTATAAAGAAGAAAATTGATAGGATTTATTTATTCAATAAAAAACTCAAGGGCCGGGGATTTAGCTCAGTGGTTCCGCCACCTGCCCTGAAAGTGCAAGGTCCTTAGTTCGATCCCCAGTACCAAAAAAAAATTTTTCAAATAAAAATAAAAAAATAAATAAATAAGTCAATTTTTTCCATGAACAAGATTAAGAAAAATGACCCACTGAGTTTAAAAATATCTGTAATAGTGTATGGGTTTCTTTGAATTTGACAAAATGTTTCTAAAGTTCGTTAGACAATAGGAAATACAAAATTGAAACAGAAAAAGGACATGGAACTCGCATCTGGGCACATTCGTGCTTATTATGGAACGAGAATGACAGCAGTCTTGTTCAGCACACAATAGACTGGCCGAGGTAAGCCTGCAGCAGTCTAGGTGCTGAGCCACAGGACATACGCAGTTGAAAGGCATAATTTCAGTTGGCGTAAAAAGGAAGGGTCACTCCATAAACGGTGCTCAGACCATGGGTTAATGTGAGGGGAAAAAATAGAACTGGATTTCACTGTTATAAGAAACATTACAATCTATTCTCAGTGGCTCTCATAATGTCTTGGTAACTAATTTCTGTAAATTTAAAAAATAAGAAAAATCAGTTCAACAACCGGAGCCAGTATGAGACTTTTCTGGAAAATTCCATAAACCCATCACAGAAGAGTTGCTAAGTTTACGGACTGCAAACGTGTACTGACGAATGTTTTCGAAAAGAGTTAAGAAGACCAAAACATGGGAATTTGCGGATGTGACCCGTGGGGGCCTGTGTCACTCTGGGGACTGTGGAGACTTCGAGCCAAGGCCGAGGCCTCTGCAGCCTTCGTCTAAGTCCTCGTCCCTGAGAGGCCTCCCCTGAGGAACCCGAGCGAGTGGGCAAAGGGACACCTGGCTCAAGTAACAGCAAAGACGCAGCGTGAGGCCCCTTGGCAAGGGACACAAACATAACCTGTGACTGGTCTGTGTGAAAAATTAGTAATAAGGTCTGCACTCACCAACTCAGAGAAATTTCCCGAAACATTCAGTGAGGAAAAAGACATGGGAGAGAGTCCTGGTTCCTCTGTAAATATCTATGACATAAAAATAGCATGTGGGCTGCAGCTGCAGCTTGGTGGTGGAGCACTCACCTAGCATGCACACGTGGTCTTGGGGTGTTCCAAGGAGCAAAGGGAAGTTGGGGTTTTACTGAGAAAAGAAAACTACATGCAGCATTTTAAGAGGAAGCGTGCTGGCCCTGTGGCATCCAGAGACAGCTAGCCAGAGGCCACCGTTGCTAGGTAATACTAGCGATGTTACCGGCAGTGTTGCACTGGTCTGGCTCTCCCAGCTTCATGGTTGGGTTTTCGAGACCCAGCGGCAGGTAAGCGTTCTAATGCAGCAGCTCGTTGGCCTTGTCTGTCCCTGTCTGTCCTCAACCCCTCCCTCCATGGGTTTCCAGGGCTCCGTGTGCCAGGGGTGACAGGGGTGAGAGGGATGACTCCCTTTTCAATTGGACAGCTCTCACAACAGTAGAGCCACACAGCCTAGAAACACTCCTGCTGAAAAGTATTAAAAACTGTACCAACATTTCAAAGTGTTGTTTCCATGAAGGGGCAAGGTCATAAAGAAAGCTTAAAAGACAGAAAGGAGTGAAGCAGGGGCCAGGTTGGCAACTGACTTCTTCACCCGCTGACCCACTGGACACACACCGCATCCTGGGACCGGCAGAGAGCAGGACACAGGGCCACCCTCGGGGTGCGGGACTCAGGATGAGCACAGTGCATGGTGAGCACACAGGACTCCTCCTGAAGATGCCTCAGAACCATGAGGATGAGCAAAGTAAGCAGATGCAGAAGAACCAAGGTCATGTCCTTGCCTTTCCGTGATTTCCAAAAATATTAAAATTTTAGATGGGTGTGAGGGCACATGCCAGTATCCTGGACCTCTGGAAAGCTGGGGGGTGGGGGGCAGAGCACAAGACCAAGCTGAATTTCAGCTTAGCCAGACCCTGTCTCAAAGGTGTGGGGCAGAGGACAGAGGAAGTGCCCAGTATGAAGGCCTTGGGTTCAATCCCTACATATATAGGGATTGTTTAGGGATGTGACAAAATTTTATAGAAAATCACTATGGCTTCAAAATATTGATCTCCTAATTCTACATAGTGGCAGACTTAAACACTCTCAGAAAAAGACAGAGTGATTAGATTCAAAGATAGATCAAAAATACATGAAGTTTTCCACTCAAGAATCCAGGAGAAATAACATAATAAAGCCAAAGAAATTAGAAGGGAAGTGGGGAGGGGGAGGAACAATTTTAATAAAAGAAACCCAGGCATGAAACTTTCAGGTAAGCACCAGCACCAAAAGAAGATTTCATGAAATCACCAATGAAACGAATTTTGGGAAAATAAGATTAAAAAGGTTAAGACACAAAGAAGCAACACAGAGAAGCACAGAAGAGTCCACTGCAGTGAGGATTCATGTGTCATCAAAAAGGTCTATGTGCAACTTAGTTCAGTTAAATAATTGGTCACCTAAGAACCGAGACATGTGGCAGACCTTCTCACTTGATTTTCTTCCTGAAAGAGGGTTTCCTAATAGAAAACTATAAATGTGCATGGAACACATCCTGCAATAGCCCCTGCTAGAGAGTGGACCTTTTCATGGAAAGCTAAGGTCTCTGGAGGCAGCCCAGGGATACACAG